GTTACTGACATCTGGTGAAATTTTCATGTCATTAGCACCTCTAGTAATATATTTACTGAGAAAAATGGTGACTTGTTCAATACTTATTTTACCCGCTGTATCTCTACTTAAGTAGGTTTAATTATGGGTACTTTAGATTTTAGTCCCCTACATTTTACATGAAGTATCTGTATTTTCTACTACATTTCTGTGATGCGTTGCTTTACGTGTTTCATTCACGTCACGTTCGATTCATTTTTTCAGTTTGAAAGTAGTGCTGGGCATAGATTAAAATGTTTAATCGCGCTTAATCTCAATTATTCTTTTTAAAAATCACTCTACTATGGCTGAATGTTGCAATACATGTGTGACACACTATGTACATTTTTTCTTTTGTTTTTCATTTGAACTTCTCATTGTTTTTTGTATTTTTCCTGACAACAGGAGCCTCATCTATCTTCCTCATAATAGTCATTTGGAATGACACAAAAAAATCCTCGAACTCTTGATTTTAATTTTAAAACCTTTAAACAAATAAGGCAAATGAAGCCTGTTTCTCCCACACACTGGTCAGCAGGACCTCCCTCTGTTTGTTTACCTGGTTTTAAACTGAAGTCATGTTTCAGCTCAACCTGCTCTGGTGGTGACACAGTTTAACGTGCAGAGCTTACAGATAACTTTAGTTCTTTCAAACACGCTGTTGGAAAAAGTTTTAAAAATAAAAAATGCCCTGAAGAATCTGGCGACTTCAGACATGTTTCCTCCCAGCAGCTGGGGTTCATGTGGGCGGAGCCACGCTCAACAACAAAGGCTCTCATTGGACGAGACGCGACATAAATGCTGTTTCTAGTGATTAAGTCCCGCCTCTCTGCATCGACCACTGGGAGAGTCAGCCAGAGGAAATGCACCACCCACGGTCTTATCTAAAACATTTATTCTAGTTACTGGTTCAAAAAAAAAGACTTGTGAAGATTTTATAGAGGTGTTGGTGGTGAATTTACAGCTTGTGTAGCTGTTGTCAGCTTCATGAGTTTGTGTAAACACAAACACATCTGCAGCATCCTTCACCAACATGCCTCACCACTGATGTGTTAAAAATATACACACAGTAGGCACACTTCATTAGGGAATACATTAAACAAGTACTTTTACCTTTTACTCAAGTAAAAATAATAGTGTGGTACTTTTACTAGATAAAATTTTTGTCTTCATCTGTACATTTACTTAAGTACAGTGTTTGAGTACTTTCTCCACCACTGCTGAAAGGTGTTAATTTCTAAAATAAAATATTTGTAGAAATTCCTGCAGTTTTCAAGTGTCTGAATTTCAGAATTCAGAGAAAATGTTCTTCGCAAGATTTTTTTAATCTTTGTTTTTCATGTTTGTTCTGCTGACAAACAGTAACCAGTTAGTACTGGCTGAACTTCAGACAAACTCTTCTCTGTTGGGTTTTCTGTGAGGTTTCATCAAAGTTTCTTTGTGTCCAAGAAGAGTCACAGGAAGAGCTGCTGCTCACTGATATTCATTTAAAATAGAACAGAAAACACACAGTTTAAACAAGAATAAACCATAACAAGAATAAAAAAAACTAAACATTTTTAGTTTAAAGAACAACCTTTAAGGTAAAATTCACTTTTTCTTGTCCAGATTGCAGTGAGCTGCTTCCTAATTTAAGTTAGACACAGTGCAAGAGACGAGGGACACCCTGGACATGTCTCCAGTCTATCACAGGGACACAGAGAGACAACAGAGACGACAACTATTCACTTTCTCAGTCATATCAGGGATAATTTACAGTCACTAATGAGGCCTTAATGAAGAAAGCAGGTGTGAGTCAGTTGTTTGTATCATTTGTCCCTGTCTGTCCCTGTGGTGGACTGGAGACATGTCCAGAGTGTCCATTGGAGAGAGAAACCAGCTCCCAAGCAAAGAATAAAACTGCATTAGAATCAACATATTTTTATAGCTCTTTGATTAAATAACAAGTTTTCCTTCTAGAAATCATAAAGTACAAAATGTTGAAGTTTAGATTTTATGGCGCTATGTGACGGCTAAAATTAAGACTATTGCTCAACCAGTGGTTGGTTGCTACATCCTTGTAGCAAGAGGCTATATCTATTCCTAAGCAGCTATTGATCTGATTAATCATAGGCCAGTACCGCTAACTGAGCAGCTCATCGGAGAGGCTAGTGACTAGCATGGATAAGCTGGCGTTGGCATTGGAGAGGCTAGCGACTAGCATGGATAAGCTGGTGTTAGTATTGGAGAGGCTGGCGACCAGCATGGATAAGCTGGTGTTAGCATTGGAGAAGCTAGCAACTAGCATGGATAAGCTGGCATTAGCATTGGAGAAGCTAGCAACTAGCATGGATACGCTGGCATTAGCATTGCAGAAGCTAGTGACTAGCATGATTTAGCTGTCATTAGCATTGGAGAAGCTAGCAACTAGCATGGATAAGCTGGTGTTAGCATTGAAGAGGCTAGTGACTAGCATGGATAAGCTGGCATTAGCATTGGAGAAGCTAGCAACTAGCATGGATAAGCTGGCATTATCATCAAAGAGGCTAGCGACCAGCATGGATACTCTGGCGTTAGCATTGCAGAAGCTAGTGACTAGCATGAATAAGCTGTCATTAGCATTGGAGAAGCTAGCAACTAGCATGGATAAGCTGGTGTTAGCATTGAAGAGGCTAGTGACTAGCATGGATAAGCTGGCATTAGCATTGGAGAAGCTAGCAACTAGCATGGATAAGCTGGCGTTGGCATTGGAGAGGCTAGCGACTAGCATGGATAAGCTGGTGTTAGCATTGAAGAGGCTAGTGACTAGCATGGATAAGCTG